ACATGATTATAGAAGTTCAAGGCTCCTAAAAATAGGCCTTGTGAGACTTACCCAGACTTTACAGATTACAAAGTGAGCTTGCCCTAGTTTCATTTCCAAACTGTTTTCTTTGTACCGCCAGGTGCTGTGAAAAAGTGTCATCTCTCACAAGTCTTTGCTTTGATTTGACGACACTGTCTCTCTGCATCTGTTGTGTCAACCTAACACAAGTAAAAAAGAGAACACTGAATTCTGCTTCAGATGCACTGTTTAGCATGAAAAACCCTCATAGTTAGGAGACTGTCACCTGACAGCTATGTGCCAAATAACTTCCTTGATCGCTCATTCACTCATCTTTATATAACAGGCATAGTTTGTTATAGTGAGCTGAAAATTAATATTTTGGACATTTATAAATGTCGTTATTATCCGCCATCACTGACAAGTGTAAATTATAACTGTTCCGCATTGCATTGTGGAATTGTTAGTAGAAAGCTGTGGACACGCCATGTTCACTACTTATCCAGTCTGTTCTGGGACTTTTTAAGGGCACTGCATATAATATAGTTTCTCATACTAGAATATGTCAGAAAAAAGTCATAGTGTAGTATGTTAGAAAAATGTCATAAAAGTGTCAAAATATAATATGCCCCGACAAATGTAAAAAAAAAAAAAAAAAAAAAAAAAAAGTTAAGTATGACATATTAATGCTATAAAAAGGGCCTAAAGTATGTCATAAAAATAATTAAAGTGTATGCTAAAAATGTGTCACTAAAAAAGTCATGAATAGAGAAACCATTCTGTAATTCATAAAGAAGTCATAATTAAGAATGCCAGAAAAAAAAATCATCGTATCTTATGCCATTAAAATGTAAAAAAGGATTTAAAAATGTCATGATATAGTATGGCAAATAAAATGTCTTAGAAATGACATAAAAATATATTTTTTTAAAAATCGTAGTTAAGTACGCCATTAAATGTCATTGAAAAAGTCTTGCTATACTGTGACATATTTTGCCATACTATACAATGCCTAAAACATGCTATAAAATGTCATGAAATATCTAATATCTATGTCATGGGAAAGGTGTCATACACTATGACTTTTTTAAAGACAGAGTATAGTATGTCATGAAAAGGTCATAGTATATCTTTAAAAAGGTCAGTTAAAAAGGTCATAGTATAGTGTGTCATAAAAAAGGTCAGAGTGTAGTATTTCATAAAAGAGGTCAATGAAAAACTCATAGTATTGTATGTCATAAAAAGGTCATAGTATAGTATGTCATAAAAAGGTCAATAAAAAAGGTCAGTATAGTATTTCATAAAAGAGGTCAATAAATAAGTCATAGTATAGTATGTTATAAAAAGGTCAATAAAAAAGGTCAGAGTGTAGTATTTCATAAAAGAGGTCAATGAAAAACTCATAGTATTGTATGTCATAAAAAGGTCAATAAAAAAGTCATTATAGTACTTCTTCAAAGAGGTCAATAAAAATGTCATAGTATTGTATGTCATAAAAAAGGTCAGAGTATAGTATGTGATAAAAAGGTCAATAAAAAAGGTCAGAGTATAGTACTTCATAAAAGAGGTCAATAAAAAAGGCATAGTATTGTATGTCATAAAAAGGTCAATAAAGTCATAGTATAGTATGTCTTAAAAAGGTCAGAGTATAGTATTTCATAAAAGAGGTCAATAAAAGTCATAGTATAGTATGTCATAAAAATTACTATATTATGTCATTAAAAAACGCAGTCTAAGATGTCATTAAAAAAGTTCTAGAAGTGCAACTCTCACAGTAAACAGAGAAAGTGTAACAGTAGGGAGGCTCCATGATTCACCAGTTTAGGCATCTTTCTGCGATGACTCTAACAGGCAAGAGAAGTTTTTAGTCCTAGATCAGTATCATTACACTCCTGCAGAATGTAATAAGAGCAGAGGTTCGAGGCACAGCAGACAGATAATAATGATATAACGCTCTGACTGCAGGGTTATCATATAAGAGAGCAATGTTAGGAAAATAAATAACACAACGGCTGCAGGGGGAGAGAGACGGGGAAGTTAAAGCAGAGGGGGGTTGATTCAGCGGGGAAAAGTTTGTGTGAGTTACATCTTCATAACAATAATTTTGTGTTTCCAAAGAATTTGCTCATCCCGTGAAGCACCCTGCGGGCTGTTTCTACAGCTTTCATCATCTTATTTTTATATCTACTCCCACGCAGCAAAAAATAAAAAAGACAATACAGTGCAAAGAGAGCAAAGGGTTGAATTTTGGTACAGTACACGAGCACAGGAAGAAGAAGCTGATTCTATTTAACTATTTTCTGCACACAGTCCGACTGTTTTAACTCAAAGTATTTATATTTTTACACTGTTGTAAGATGTCACTGCACAAACACAGACAGGGCAAGAGTTGCATAGAGGCACCCCCCAAAAAAACAAACACCTTTGAAAGTTTCCGGGGAAGTACGCAAAGTAAACAAGTCGCCATTACTGCTGTGGCGTCTACAGTTGGTGTACATTTTAATGCAAGTAAATTTTGACTGGTAGCTCTCCGCTGACTTTTTTTAATCTACGCCAATCATTTACGCAAGTTACTACGAGCAACAACAGACGCATTCGGTTCGAAGTCATGAGTGAACATTAGGGCTAGGTATCTCTACTCTGGAGACAAACAAATTAAACATTACCCAATCCTCCCACCAGGGGTCTGATCCTGGACCGTCCTGATTCCCAAACTTTCTGTTGCTGCCATCACAAGAGCTACTCTCCTCTGCCAACAATCAGTTCAGTGTCGCGTCCTGTTAGCACAAGATAACACTAAACACCGAGCTGTTAAACCTATTAATAACTCTTAGGTAACTTTAGCCCCGTCACTGTGTGTTCACGGGTGGACTTTCTGTCCCTGACGCAGAGCTCACACTCCTACAGCAACAACTACAACTCATACAGTCTGTGGTTTGGTGAAGTTGAGCGTGGTGTATTTGCGTGCAGAGAGGCCACCATAACGTTAAAAAGTGTGGCTATACTACACAACACTACATTTACATCATACACGGGGGGGGTTTCTCAAAGTCCAGGAAGGATACTTAAATGGCTGAATTTCAAGGATGCTATGTCATCGAACCCAACCTGCTGACTGTTCCAATGTCGAGGATCCTTCAAATTCTACTGCGGAGTCCTTCATTCAGAGAAATTTCAAGGATACAGGTGACGGAAAAGTTTCATTTAGCCTACCAGTTTGCTTTTTTAAGTGTAATCCAAAATTAAATTCTCCCCAAAAGTCACGTGACTCTGAAAATACTGCTTACATTTGTTCAAATTGTACAACACCATTAGAGATTGCCATAATGACCACAGTACCCTGAACCCGCCTCAGTCTGCTCAGGGTTAATGACGCACACCTAGGACACTAATTAGCCTGTTCCAATGTGTGTTCACCAAATGCTAGGAAGGACTCTTGCCTTGCCGCTGCAGGATCCTTGACTCTGAGAAACACCAATGATGTTGAATGAAGCACTCCATTGGTATCTGGATCATTCAGGTTGATGGTACTGGCATCCTACCGATATCCAGCCCTAGTTAACAAGTGAAAAGCAGTGCCACAAGATGGCCAAACACAGCGGTTGCCAGATTCATGCATAGACACACAAACATCACAAGGCAAAGTATCAAATTTGCGCCAAGTATATCTGAAAATATGTGACAAGGTTTTTTCCTCTTTCCTTTAGAAACTTCACTGAGCCTCATTAAAAACACCTCACTCTGCTTCCCCTCAGGTACAGTTCTAAAAGGAGATTAACTAGTGGAGCTGCTGGACAGGCCAACCTGCCGAGGAACAAACCATTCTGACGACACGCACTGCCAAGAAGCCCTGCTCTCCTCTCTGACTCTCTCTGACTCTTCCTCCTCCTTCCCCTCAACCCTCCTCTTCCTCCTCCTTCCCCTCCCTTCCTAATATGGGCACCAGATGCCGGTGCTAAACTGTCCTGCAGGCTGCCCCGTTGTCACCATTTCTACCTTTTACATGTACAGTAACTTGTCAAAGCATAACGTACTGTGTATTTCTTCTACAGGAGATGTGTAGGTTATCTGTAAATAAATATGCCATTTTTTAATATATACACACATCTATGTATAAAAAGATATTCAGAGTTTGTGCAAAAAAAAAAAAAACGTCCCTGCCACCTCATTTAGTGGACCATAGATTAATATATGCTGCTCTTTAAACTGTCTCCATATTACCCCGCCCTCTCTAGATCATTTTGTACATATGGTTTTATTTTTTCATTGTGCTGATGATGATGATGATGATGATAAACCTGTGCTGCACCATAGAGAGAGGACGAGACTGGATGTTGTGTGAAAACCTGCCCTCTAGTGGTGTCCCAAAAAACCACCCTGAGCCCCAACAAACTCCATTATCCTTTCTTATGGACTCGCTGTCATAACAGGAGCGTTTTAAGGGGACATGTCGGCGCACTGGAACGACATGACAAGCACTTTGATACAACCGCATCAACTCAACGGACTATTTAGTAGCCAAGGATGAAAACAAAGAGACGCCATTGCTCTCCGAAGTCGCACAAAACAACTTCTCAGAGAACAAAAAAGCAGGACGTCATTCATAGAACCTGTCACTTGTTGTACTGTATGTTTTGTCAGGCGATACATTAACACAAAAAGGACAACTACACACACTCAGCCGAGCTGGCCTTCTCCCCCGACCCCTCAGACACTTAAACAGAACAGATGAAATAACTGAAAGACAGACCGCTTTAGCTCATAGTGTGCGTAGAGTGTATATGACCATGTTGAAGTGAGGTGACATTTAATGACAAACCTGTTGCTTGCTGTGACTTACATTGGTGTAACTGTTGACTCTTTGTTTCCGTCAGAGTTTCCAGGGTAACCTATTGTACAGCCCTGTTATCTGTCTTTTAGTTATTTCTGATGGACGACTCAAACAAGTCTTACGCTTTTGATTTGTTTTTACATCTTCAATTTGCACGAACAATGAGTCATTTTATTTTGTCCATTTTTTTATTTATTACTTCTTGTACTTTGGTCAAAACTAAGTGGTGAGCAAGCAGATTTTCATTGTCAATAAAAAAAACTACTGTCAGTGAATGGGTGGTCTTCATTATTTTTCATTAAAAATTCAAACTGTTAACGGCACCAGGGCAACATTTTGTACATTGGTTGTAACTTGCCCTGCTTATAAATTGTAAATGCACAAAGCCTGTAGTTAAATACAGTTTCACAGTATTATTCAGATTACATGCATAAAAATTGACTGTTCATTTCATTATTTCAGACAGAAACACTAGCCCTGTAGGAAGTACTGACATCAATGTTTCTCTCTAGCTTGACTTAGAAAAATAATCACAAATTTTACTTCTACTTTTAGTTCATATTGGCGACCCCCACTTCATAGTAAAAGCACACTTCTTGTTGAGTGAGTTTTAGTTTGTGTTGACGGAATGTATCCAACCTCAGTTTCTTCTGGTCATCCAACAGGTAAGTTCAGCCTCCGCGAGGTCTCAGGGTTTTTTCAACCTGTCTCTCAATGTCTTTGAAAACTTCTGGGTCCTCGATGGTTGGAGTAACCTGTAGGGGAGAAATAACTTACTTTGCGTCATTGAAAAAAACATAGAAAAGCACAAAATGTCAACAAAACCCTATCATTATTAAAGTATGTCATAGAATACTATGCCAAAAAATGTCATACCAATAAAAACATAAAAACGGCCAACTATGGTTTGTCGAAAAAAATTAATGACGTCATAGTATAGCAAGACGAAAAAATTAATAAAAATGTCATAGTATAATATGTCGAAATAAATGATAAAAAACGCCATAGTATAGTATGTCAAAAAAAAGCTTATAGTATAGTATGTCGAAAAAAGCTCATAGTATGTCGAAAAAGTGAAATAAACGTCATAGTATAGTATGTCAAAAAAAGGTCATAGTATAGTATGTCGAAAAAAATGATAAAAATGCCATAGTATAGTATTTCAAAAAACAGTCATAGTATAGTATGTCAGAAAAAGTGATGAAAAAGTCATAGTATAATATGTTGAAAAAAAAAGATAAAAACGCCATAGTATAGTATGTCAAAAAGAGTCATAGTATAGTATGTCAAAAAAAAGTCAGTATAGTATGTCGAAAAAAGTGATTAAAAACGTCATAGTATAGTATGTCGGAAAAAAAAGATAAAAACGTCATAGTTTAGTATGTCAGAAAAAGTGATGAAAACGTCATAGTATAGTATGTCAAAAAAAGGTCATAGTATAATATGTTGAAAAAAAGATAACGCCATAGTATAGTATGTCGAAAAAAATGATAAAAACTTCACAGTATGTCAAAAACAGTCATTGTACAGTATGTCGAAAAAAGTGATAAAAACATCATAGTATAATATGTGGAAAAAATGATAAAAATGCCATAGTATAGTATTTCGAAAACAGTCATAGTATAGTATGTCAGAAAAAGTGATGAAAACGTCATAGTATAATATGTTGAAAAAAAAGATAAAAACGCCATAGTATAGTATGTCGAAAAGAGTCATAGTATAGTATGTCCAAAAAAAAGTCAGTATAGTATGTCGAAAAAAGTGATTAAAAACGTCATAGTATAGTATGTCAAAAAAATCATAGTATAATATGTCGAAAAAAAAGATAAAAACGCCATAGTTTAGTATGTCAGAAAAAGTGATGAAAACGTCATAGTATAGTATGTCAAAAACAAGTCATAATATAGTATGTCATCAAAAGTGCTTAAAAACACTATAGTATGTCGAAGAAATTCATAGTATAGTATGTCGAAAAAAGTGATTAAAAACGTCATAATATAGTATGTCAAAAAAAGTCATAGTACAGTATGTCAGAAAGTGATGAAAACGTCATAGTATAGTATGTCAAAAAAAGTCATAATATGTTGAAAAAAAGAACAACGCCATAGTATAGTATGTCGAAAAAAGTCATAGTATAGTATGTCAGAAAGTGATGAAAACGTCATAGTATGTCAAAAAAAAGTCATATTATAATATGTTGAAAAAAAGATAACAACGCCATAGTATAGTATGTCGAAAAAAGTCATAGTATAGTATATCAAAAAAAGTCATAGTATAGTATGTCATCAAAAGTGCTTAAAAACGCCATAGTATGTTGAAGAAATTCATAGTATAGTATGTTGGAAAAAAAATGATTAAAAACGCTGTGGTATAGTATGTCGAAAAAAGTCATAGTATAGTATGTCAGAAAGTGATGAAAACGTCATAGTATGTAAAAAAAAGTCATAATATGTTGAAAAAAAGATAACGCCATAGTATAGTATGTCGAAAAAAGTCATACTATAGTATGTCAGAAAAAGTGATGAAAACGTCATATAGTATGTCATCAAAAGTACTTAAAAACGGCATGGTATGTCGAAGAAATTCATAGTATAGTATGTCGAAAAAAGTCATAGTATAGTATGTCAGAAAAAGTGATGAAAACGCCATAGTATAGTATGTCGAAAAAAGTCATAGTATAATATGTTGAAAAAAAGATAAAAACGCCATAGTATGGTATGTCCAAAAAAAAGTCATAGTATAGTATGTCGAAAAAAGTGATAAAAACATCATGATCATCATCATATCGAAAAAAAATGATAAAAACGCCATAGTATAATATGTCATAAAAAGATCATAGTAAAGTATGTCGAAAAAAAGTGAAATAAACGTCATAGTATAGTATGTCAAAAAAAAGGTCATAGTATAGTATGTCAGAAAAAGTGATGAAAACGTCATAGTACAGTATCTCAAAAAAAAGTCAGTATAGTATGTCGTAAAAAGTGATTAAAAACGTCATAGTATAGTATGTCAAAAAAAGTCATAGTAAAATATGTCCAAAAAAAAGGATAAAAACGCCATAGTATAGTATGTCGAAAAAAGTCATAGTATAATATGTTGAAAAAAAGATAAAAACACCATAGTATAGTATGTCAAAAAAGTCATAGTATAGTATGTCGAAAAAAGTGATAAAAATGTCATAGTATAGTATGTCAAAAAAGGTCATAGTAAAGTATGTCGAAAAAACTCATAGTATACTATGTCAGAAAAAGTGATGAAAATTTCATAGTATAGTATGTCAAAAAAAGTGATAAAAACATCATGGTATAGTATGTCGAAAAAAGTCATAGTGTAGTATGTCGGAAAAATTGATAAAAAAAACGCCATAGTATAGTATGTCGAAAAAAATGATAAAAACGTCATAGTATAGTATGTCGAAAAAAGAACTGATAGATAACCTTAGTATGTATGTCGAAAAAAGTCATAGTATAATATGTCGAAAAAAGTGATAAAAACATCATAGTATAGTATGTCAAAAAAGTGATAAAAACGTCATAGTATAGTATGTCAGAAAAAGTGACAAAAACTTAGTAGTATAGTATGTCAAAAAAGTCATAGTATAGTATGTCAAAAAAAGTCATAGTAGTATGTCAGGAAAAGTCATAGTATAGTATGTCGAAAAAAGTCATAGTATAGTATGTCGGAGGAAAAAAAGAGATAAAAACGCCATAGTATAGTATGTCGAAAAAAGTCATATGTCGGAAAAATTGATAAAAACACCATAGTATAGTATGTCGAAAAAAGTCATAGTATAGTATGTCAGAAAAATTGATAAAAATGCCATAGTATAGTATGTCGGAAAAACTCATAGTATGTCGGAAAAAGTGATAAAAACATCATGGTATAGTATATCGAAAAAAATGATAAAAACGTCATAGTATGTCGAAAAAAGTCATGGTATATGTCAAAAAAAGTGATAAAAACGCCATAGTATAGTATGTCAAAAAAGTCATAATATAGTATGTCAGAAAAAGTGAAAAAAACGTCATAGTATAGTATGTCAAAAAAGTGATAAAAACGTCAAAAAACATCATGGTATAGTATGTCGAAAAAAGTAATAAAAATGCCATAGTATAGTATGTCGAAAAAAGTCATAGTATAGTATGTCGAAAACAGTCATGGTATATGTCGAAAAAAGTGATAAAAATGCCATAGTATAGTATGTCGGAAAAAGAAATGATAAAAACGCCATAGTATAGTATGTCGAAAAACACTCATAGTATGTCGGAAAAAGTGATAAAAACATCTGGGTATAGTATATCGAAAAAAAATTATAAAAACGTCATAGTATAGTATGTCGAAAAAAGTCATAGTGTAGTATGTCGGAAAAATTGATAACAACGCCATAGTATAGTATAGTATGTCGAAAAAAGTCATAGTGTAGTATGTTGGAAAAATTGATAAAAACGCCATAGTATAGTATGTAGAAAAAAGTCATAGTATAGTATGTCAAAAAAAGTCATAGTGTAGTATGTAAAAAAAAAAATGATAAAAACGCCATAGTATAGTATGTCGAAAAGAAGTCATAGTATAGTATGTCGAAAAAAGTCATAGTATACTATGTCAGAAAAAGTCATAGTGTAGTATGTAAAAAAAAAAAAAGTGATAAAAACGCCATAGTATAGTATGTCGAAAAAAGTCATAGTATAGTATGTCAGAAAAAAGTGATAAAAACGCCATAGTATAGTATGTCGAAAAAAGTCATAGTACAGTATGTTGGAAAAAGTGATAAAAACGCCATGGTATAGTATGTCGAAAAAAGTCATAGTATAGTATGTCGAAAACAGTCATGGTATATGTCGAAAAAAGTGATAAAAATGCCATAGTATAGTATGTCGGAAAAAGAAATGATAAAAACGCCATAGTATAGTATGTCGAAAAAAACTCATAGTATGTCGGAAAAAGTGATAAAAACATCTGGGTATAGTATATCGAAAAAAAATTATAAAAACGTCATAGTATAGTATGTCGAAAAAAGTCATAGTGTAGTATGTTGGAAAAATTGATAAAAACGCCATAGTATAGTATGTAGAAAAAAGTCATAGTATAGTATGTCAAAAAAAGTCATAGTGTAGTATGTAAAAAAAAAATGATAAAAACGCCATAGTATAGTATGTCGAAAAGAAGTCATAGTATAGTATGTCGAAAAAAGTCATAGTATACTATGTCAGAAAAAGTCATAGTGTAGTATGTAAAAAAAAAAAAAGTGATAAAAACGCCATAGTATAGTATGTCGAAAAAAGTCATAGTATAGTATGTCAGAAAAAAGTGATAAAAACGCCATAGTATAGTATGTCGAAAAAAGTCATAGTACAGTATGTTGGAAAAAGTGATAAAAACGCCATGGTATAGTATGTCGAAAAAAGTCATAGTATAGTATGTCGAAAACAGTCATGGTATATGTCGAAAAAAGTGATAAAAATGCCATAGTATAGTATGTCGGAAAAAGAAATGATAAAAACGCCATAGTATAGTATGTCGAAAAAAACTCATAGTATGTCGGAAAAAGTGATAAAAACATCTGGGTATACTATATCGAAAAAAAATTATAAAAACGTCATAGTATAGTATGTCGAAAAAGGTCATAGTGTAGTATGTTGGAAAAATTGATAAAAACGCCATAGTATAGTATGTAGAAAAAAGTCATAGTATAGTATGTCAAAAAAAGTCATAGTGTAGTATGTAAAAAAAAAATGATAAAAACGCCATAGTATAGTATGTCGAAAAAAATTGTAGTATAGTATGTCGAAAAAAATGATAAAAACGCCATAGTATAGTATGTCGAAAAAAATGATAAAAACGTCATAGTATAGTATGTCGAAAAAAGAACTGATAGATAACCTTAGTATGTATGTCGAAAAAAGTCATAGTAAAGTATGTCAAAAAAAGTGATTAAAAACATCATAGTATAGTATGTTGAAAAAATTGATATAAACGTCATAGTATAGTATGTCAAAAAAATTGATAAAAACATCATAGCATAGTATCTCGAAAAAACTGACAAAAACATCATAGTATAGCCTGTTGAAAAAATGTCATAGTATAGTATGTCGAACAAACTGATAAAAACGTCATAGTATAGTAGGTCAAAAAAAGTGATAAAAACATCAAAGTATAGTGTGTCGAAAAAAGTGATAAAAAAGTCATAGTATAGTAAGTCAGTCGAAAAATCGATTAAAAACATCATAGTATAGTGTGATGAAAAAAGTGATAAGAACGTCATAGTATAGTATCTCGAAAAACCTGATAAAAACGTCATAGTATAGTTAGTCGAAAAATCGATAAAAACATCATAGTATAGTGTGTCGAAAAAAGCGTTAAAAACATCATAGTATAGTATCTTGAAAAAAATGATAAAAAAAGGTCATGTCGAAAAACCTGATAAAAACATCACAGTATTGTATGTTAAAAAACTGATAAAAAAAAGTCATCGTATAGTGTAAAAAAAAGTGATAAAAACGTCAAAGTATAGTATGTCAAAAAAGTCATAGTATAGTATGCCGAAAAAAGTGATAAAAACGTCAAAGCATAGTTTGTCAAAAAAGCAATTAAAAACGTCATAGTATAGTATGTTGAAAAAAGTGATAAAAACATCATAGTATAATATGTCAAAAAACTGATCAAAACGTCAAAGAATAGTATAGCAAAAAAGGAAATAAAAATGTCATCCTACTATTAAATGGAGAAACCTCTGTCCCTCCGTCTATCCGTCCATCTGTCATCATCCGTTTTCCTCCTCACTGCTTTGACTTACTTCTCTGAACTTGCACATAGTCTTTCATCTTGGTCACGTGCAGACAGCCACGATGCAGTTTTTGCATTTTTCCCACATTTCTACTGTTTATATTCGCGTTTTTGTCCATCTACCCATTCATACTGTCAGCACCATTAGCAGCGCGAGCTGCGCATGCGCGCTGGGACCACAGTTTGGCTGGGAAGCCTTTATCTCCAACACTTGCGGATCAAAACCTGTATGTGTGTACCTGTGTGCCCGCGCACGGCCCTGGGCACGCTCATGTCTCCGTGCCGTCAGCCAAAACTATGCTCCATGTATTTTGCCATAAAGCATGTTTCTAAATACAGTATTTTAGGTCTAAACATTTTTTTCACTGTTGTATGTTGAAAAATTTACTTAGTAAAGTATGTCAAAGAAATATCACGCTCTAGTATACCATCATTAAAAAGACATAGTATATCATTTCATAAAAATTCTTCAAAATGCTACTTTTGCTGCATAGTCTGGTGTGACATAAAAATTTCATTAAAAACATCATAGTGCAGCTTCTCAAAGCGTGGCCCATGGAAACATTGTATTTTCATTTCACAACAACTGCTATATTAAGAACTATTGTTTTCTCAGTTTGTCATCCACTTCTCTCCAGAGGGCTTTAGCACCTGATCAGCAGAAAATAAAGTCAGTAACTTAAAGGAAACAAAGTCCCATATGAGCCCTCAGTTCTATTTAATGAGTGCAGAGCCTGCTAATGCACCATCGTTACTCAAATTCTGAACTGCAAAATGAGCTTCACTGTTCCCTGAGCAGCTGTGAATCTTAGCACAGGGGATGACAAAAACATGCACATACAATATGTCCCCTCAGCAATTATATCCTGCAGTATTTGACTTATGAAAAACTACTGGTGGTGGGAACAGTGCAGCTGTGTCATACCTTGTAGGGTTTGCCATTGACCAGGTTGGCTAAAGAGGAGCGAGGGATCTTGCCCGAACGCGTCTTCGGCAATCCTCGGACAAAAAGCACTTTCCTAAAGGCAGCCACTGGTCCGATGTTGTCTCTCACAAGCTTCACCATCTCGTTTGTGATCTCCTCTTGATTTTTGTGCACACCTGAGAATTATTGCACACAGCAACAATTTTGATTATGGTCTTATATTTGTGGGTAAATTATCTTACTTCATGAAGAGTGTGATTTAAAAAAAAAGACGTGTCAAAATACTGAAACCCCAGGAGTCACAGTGCATCTGTCATGCCTCACCGTTCTTGAGCACACACAGGGCCAGGGGAACCACACCCTTCAGAGTGTCCTCTAGACCCACCACAGCACAGTCTCCCACCGCAGGGTGCTGCAGCACGGACTGCAAAACACACACGTACATACACGATAACACCACCAAGAAGAGTCAGGAAAACCTTCATGTCACTTCCTCTGTAATCACTCTCCTACCTCCTCCAGTGCTCCAGCAGACAACCTGTGGCCTGCCACGTTGATGACATCATCAGAGCGGGACATGATGTAAAGGAAGCCCTCCTCGTCCACAAAACCTGCATCCATGGTGTCATAGTAACCCTGATGGTTGAACGGAAAGGAAAGGTCACATGATGTGTTTGGAGCAAGTCAGAAAAGCCTCTTTCACTCCAAACACAGACGAACCAACTCACTTTGAATTTAAAAGGTCTTTACAAGTAGCTCTGTAATGTAAGATTTCAACACTGGAGGGCGCCATTTTACCACACATTTCACACCACCCACAACTACACTATTCAAGTGTCACATTCCAATGTCACAAAAGGAGAACTAAATAGAACTTCAAACAATACAAATGTTATTAAAGTAATCCAAGATTTATCAAATCCGCTTTGCAAATTATTAGCTGTCCAATAATGAAAAATAAAAAAGGAAATGAGGACACATCTTACTGGGAACTTAGTGAAGTAGAGCTCCTTGAACAGACTGCGGTTCTGCCACAGTGACAACGCTGCACCAGGTGGTAAAGGTAGTCTGAAGGAAAAGGTGTTAAAAAATTCAGTTTCATATCAATAATTCTCTTTAACCCTCTGATTTTGCCATAAACATGAGTACCTTTTAAAGGCACACTATACATTTTTCATTTATTTATTCCTTTTGACCCCTCCCTGGGGTATAAGGAGCAGACAACAAAAAATAACATTAACAAATCAGGACAGGAATTTCCTTAAAAAAAAAAAATAAAAAAAAAAAGATATAGACTCTCAACCATCAATCATGAGAAGTGTGTAGCAGTGTGTTTATCTGGAGAGATCCTGAACTCTGCCTGGATTTTATTCTTATTTTGCAATAGATACACGCCATCAGAGGAAAACAATCGGTAACCACAATATGAAACAAAGGGCTGGAACATCGACAAAATGTTTGTCTGCTTGCTGTGCGCATACTGAACGTGAGGTTTCCACAGTCTTCCCTTATCTTCCGACTGATGCCTCATCACCTGTATCCACTTTTGTCTTCTTAAAAGCTGCGAACATCAGTTTGAGAGCTTATAAAAATGGTGCATCCCACCACTCAGCAGCTTACAGGCATTTTTGCTGGCACACAAAGTGACAAGGAGGCACGTTAATGAAATACAAAGTCAATAGAGAGTGCCAGGGCTGACGTCAAAACCCGGAAGTTTAGCATCGCGCTGGTTCCCGGGAAGAGAAAGTGAATGTGATTTTTGGATTATGTCAGAAAATAAGCTCTGTGGCGAACACAAGTTTATGATACTTACAGGTTTTGTTCAGCGAGATAATCTTCACATATGAACACCTTTCATACCGCATTTGAAGCTTAAATGCGATCGGCAGAAGTAAAAAGCTAACGTTAGGCTTTAACGGACTACATGACTACTCCACGGTCACATGACTCTTGACGTCACCGCCACTAAGCTTTCAACTGATTTCGGCCGCTTTATTTTAAAAACATTGTATAATGGGGAAATCAGACTGTTTAAACTAAATAAGAAGCTGTAATGGTGGACTGCCAGCACTCTCGCCTGTTCGGGGGTGATGACGTTTAATGTCCCCGACAGGGTTTGTAGTTGTATTGAGCAACTTGTTAGCAACCGCCTTTTTTACGACACGTAAAAGCGTCAAAATTCACAAGTAGGGTATTTACTGACGTGTTTTATGTCGTAGAACAAACCTGAAACTCGCTTAAGCTTTTGTTAACCACAGACCTTATTTGAGGCATTTTACCAAAATCCCATTCAAAAAACGTATTGACTTCTAGACGAGAGAACCGGAAGTGCTAATAGCGCTAATGGAGTTCCGGGTTTACTGGCACAGAGCGATAAAATGCTTGTCCAATTTAGTATGGACGGGACTTGACGGTGATCTGTCTCTATGTTGGGGACGTTTCTGGGTGGGTAGCCCTCAGCCAATAACAGCGCCCAGGTGAGGACAGGACTTCGTAAAAAGGTATAGACCCCAGAGAACAAGCAGCATGTACCCAAGAGGAAGCTACACTCTGGCTTTAAGCACAACATGAAGTATAACTGTCTGCATGGAAATGACTCTCTAGTTGAATGTCTTCTAGAGTTTGAATCATTTCAAATTTAGGGAGCTGTCTATCAGCCTTACTCGGGAAATAATGTATAGCTGCCTGGACATCCAGCCAGCCTCTGCTCTCTGCTAGACTTCCCCTAGCCTGACACACACTCACACACTGAGACTTGGCACACACACACCGAAGCAGACAGGAGAGCTCGGTTACTCAATCTCTGTTTATCCAGAGACCACCAGTAATCCCCCTTCTTGACCAGTGTCCTGACCGAGATGATCCCATTTCCCGAGTCTGAACCTCTCAAACGTGCCTCTGCATAGATTCATTTCACTGCACAGAGAATATTCAAACACCAAACATCTTATTCAGTGCTGATGAAAAAAAAAAGCCTCATTTCTGCTGTTTATGACTGCAGCAAAAATCTGCAAGCTCTCTATTCCAATATTATTTGAAGCCAAAAGAAGCAACTAATGTACGAGTTTGGCTGCCTGCTTTTCATTTTTACAGTCTGTCACACTGCTGAGCGCTTCCTACGCACAGAAGCTGCACTCGAAACAGTAAGTTGTGCAACAAAAGCAACATAACATTAACATTAAAAAATAATTTATACATGTATCTTTTTACTGGATAATAAACCACACGCTGCTTGGAAGCAATAACACATTACAGTGACCTCACTCTAAATATTGATTATGATTTTACGAAGCTGTGGAAACAGACTTTCAGGCTACAGTGCCACAGCAGTTCCCGTCTGTTTACAGCTCTACCTGAGGTCGTCACTGTTCGCGCTCCATGTGAGTTCCTTGGAAATCCCCCGCGTTGGCACTGAGTCAATACCAGCAGTTCCAGAGAACAGGGAAATGGAGTTGGAGAGTGATAACAGATAGGTAGCAGGCTGCAAGATAAGGCAGCACAAAGGGCTAAGGGTTGACTGCTGGAGCTTTTGATGAAGTCCACTTGCACAGGCAGCTCTCTAACATAAACAGACACACACGCTTCATTCAGGAGTGAGGCTCTTTGGAGCCCGACAGTGACTTATCAAGATTAATGACTAAAACACTGGAGTTTAAATTTGATCAGAGTGTGCATCTATGCCGCATTTAAATGTGTTTGCATGTGCGATCGACAGAGGAAAGGTAGAGCATCGGAGCTGCTCACATGGCTGTGAACATAATCACTCGGCTTACCTCACCACGATATTTCCCAGGGTTCTTGGCTTCACCTCCTGCATGTCATCATTGATCACTGTGACTGGTGGAAAAGGGAAGAGCATTCATATTCAGAGGCGCTATATCACCCACTGGCAAACTGGAAGAGCAACAATATTAAATGCTCTGCAGGGAATGACAAGCAGCTGCAAAGTTTTGTCTATTTCACTTCTGAGATAAAGGTCCAGGGTGTCGGATTAGAGGGTGCATTGGCAGAAATGGAATATCACATAATAAGTTTGATTTCTTTAGTGTATAATCACCTGAAAATAAGAATCGTTGCGTTTTCGCTACCTTAGAAAGAGCCGTTTATATCTATAAAGAAAGCAGGTCCTCATCCATGCACTCTCATGCTTCTACAGTAGCTCAGAATGGACAAACTAACAGTTGGTTCGGATCAAGGTCGGAACACGTTCTCACTGCAAACAAACCGCACCAGAGCTGGTTTGTAACTGGACAGAGACCACCTCTTCAAGAAGGTCTCAGTCCGGTGTGCTTTGGCCTGAACCCTACAGCACAACTCGCTGCGCTTAAATGGAAACGCAAATCAATGTGGCAAAAAATGCCGATGGAAAGACCTGTTTGCCTTAGATGTAGGGTCTGACCACCTCTTCAAGAAGGTAGCATGCGAGAGCGAATGTTGTGTTCACACCTGCCCAAACAAACCGCACTCAGGGGGCAAATGAACTTGAGTTTGATTGAACCGAACCAAACAGGGCAGGTGTGAAAGCACCCAAAGTGACCTCTGTGGATAATTTGACTCCCGGTAAAAACCTCTTCAACAGTGATCGCTGAAGGAATCCTAACCAGGAGCCCACCCTTGACACATGGGAGGACTTTTAACCAGTCTGCAAACTTCACTTCTAGATGCCACTATTTTCTAAAGATCCTACACAAAGCTCCTTTAAATCTGTGATTGAAGGGAAGCAATTCTACAGATCAAAAAATCTTAAAATAATGAGCAGAAAGTAAAATTAAAATTGAACTCTTACCATTGTAACCTGGAACAGGTTTGCCAGCCTGACCTGCAGGTGGCGTGAGTGAGTTCCCCAGACCAATGCATGAGGAGGTGATGGCTGAGCCGGTTTCTGATGAGAGAGACACAGAAAAAGAGATGCATGAAGATTCATATGTGTGTGGGAGACCCAGAAAGTTTGAGTCCAAACACAAGAGTTGTGGATGTGTAGTTTAACACCAAAGTTTAGACACAACTCAGTTTTCTGGCTTTTCTGCTTTCTATGCAAATGCTACACCTACTAATGTTGGGCTGATCAAAAGAGCTTGTGTGCTCCTGCGAGCAGCATTAACCTACATTATGCAAAACTATGACAGCTCCTATGGGCTCTCCCCGACTCCACCATCCAACTGTGCTCCACATACAACAATACAACTGCCTGTTTGTCAGCCCACCCGGAGAATGAAGAACAGAATCGATCCGGCTCAGTGAGTGAGATGATATCAGCAGACCAGCCCGAGATCAGCATCTGCCTTCTATGATACACTGAAATTTAAAAAACACACAGTCCTGCTTTTTATTCACCGGGTGTGTGTCCGTTTCTTGTCGTAAATACCAAAACAAAGATGCAGCTGAATGCTTCCATCTGTCTGTCATGTTTCCTTTTCCTACCTGAGAGAGTTACTTAACTCAGCTGCTGTCTCACAGGGAAACTTGGGTGTTTTTCAATCTGGACTCTGTTCTCCTCCGTTTTTGTGTCTAAGTGACAAATGGAGACAAGTATTTGTACAGGGGGGTCCTGTTATTTTGTGTGGCAATATTGTGTTGATACACACATGCCAAGTATCGATTATTTATCATATCAATTATTAATACTGCAAATACACAATAAACTCTTGGCAGCCTAATAAGATCAACTGCTTTTTCAGTCTACTAGATTTGTTTTACTGCAGTAAAAATATACTGCTCAAATCATCAAATTGAAAATCCTTACTGATGTACAATGTATAATTTATTGAGAGCAAAATGACATATCAACGGTTAGTGGAAACCAAAATCATTAATCCACTGAGGGCTGGATTCAAAATCACGCCGAAAATCAAAGTAAAACATTGAAATTACAGGCTGATCCAACTTGCATGAATTCTATCACAGCAACTCATAACGTCTGTTTGACCTCCCGACAACATCTGGGCATGCTCCTGGTGAGTCAGCAGATGGTGTCCTGGGGGACCTCCTCCCAGATCTGGATCAGGGCATCAGTGAGCTCCTGGACAGTCTGCGGTGGTACTTGGCGGTGTCGGATGCACCGATACTTAACGTCCCATAGGTACTCAACTGGATTTAGGTCAGGGGAACGAGAGGACCAGTCAATGGCATCAATGCCTTCATCATCCAGGAACTGCCTACACACTCTGGCCACATGAGGTCGGGCATTGTCCTGCACCAGGAGGATCCCAGGGCCCACTGCACAAGGAGGAACCCAGGGCCCGCTACACCAGGAGGAACCCAGGGCCTTCTGCACCAGGAGGAACCCAGGGCCCACTGCACCAGGAGGAACTCAGGGCCCACTGCACAAGGAGGAACCCAGGGCCCACTGCACAAAGAGGAACCCAGGGCCCACTGCACCAGGACGAACCCAGGGCCCACTGCACAAGGACGAACCCAGGGCCCATTACACCAGGAGGAACCCTGGGCCCACTGCACCAGGAGCAACCCAGGGCCCACTGCACAAGGAGGAACCCAGGGCCCACTGCACCAGGAGCAACCCAGGACCCACTGCACCAGGAGGAACCCAGGGCCCACTGCACCAGGAGGAACCCAGGGCCCTCTGCACCAGGAGGAACCCAGGGCCCTCTGCACCAGGAGGAACCCAGGGCCCTCTGCACCAGGAGGAACCCAGGGCCCTCTGCACCAGGAGGAACCCAGGGCCCTCTGCACCAGGAGGAACCCAGGGCCCTCTGCACCAGGAGGAACCCAGGGCCCTCTGCACCAGGAGGAACCCAGGGCCCTCTGCACCAGGAGGAACCCAGGGCCCTCTGCACCAGGAGGAACCCAGGGCCCTCTGCACCAGGAGGAACCCAGGGCCCTCTGCACCAGGAGGAACCCAGGGCCCTCTGCACCAGGAGGAACCCAGGGCCCTCTGCACCAGGAGGAACCCAGGGCCCTCTGCACCAGGAGGAACCCAGGGCCCTCTGCACCAGGAGGAACCCAGGGCCCTCTGCACCAGGAGGAACCCAGGGCCCTCTGCACCAGGAGGAACCCAGGGCCCTCTGCACCAGGAGGAACCCAGGGCCCTCTGCACCAGGAGGAACCCAGGGCCCACTGCACCAGGAGGAACCCAGGGCCCGCTGCATCAGGAGGAACCCAGGGCCCGCTGCACCAGCGTAAGGTCTGACACTCGCTCTGAGGATTTCATCCTGGTACCTAACAGCAGTCAGGGTACTGTTAGCTATGACATGGAGGTCTGTGCGACCCTCCAATGACAATCACTGACCCACCGAAACCCCGGCCATGCTGGATGATGTTATAGGCAGCATAATGTTCAGCACAGCGTCTCTTTCACCCTCATGGAGTCTGTTTCTGACAGTGTAGTCAGAAACATGCACACCAGTAGCCTGCTGGAGATCATTTTGTAGGGCTCTGGCAGTGCTCCTCCTGTTCCTCCTCACACAGAGGAGCTGATACCAGCCCTGCTGCTGGGCTGATGCCCTTCTACGGCCCTGCAATACATTTAAAAATCCCTAAAATATTGTATCCTGACTCAAGTTTCACAATAATATTGTTTTGTGGGTCCTCTAGTGATGTACAATGTACGCACAATGACTGGACAAATTTCAAAAATACTTGCCTCCATTAGTCACAAGCCGAGAATATTGGAAAACAGTGTCCAGGTTGAAAAATGCTGAAGTTTCCCTTTAACCAAGATTCACACAACAGGTGAGAGACAACACAAAAACACCTGTAACAGATTGATTCCCATCAATTTTCTACCACACATTCACACTCTGGTACGTCTGCCTGTTTACTTGTGTTTTTCTGCAGGTGCACTTTGTTTGCACAAAGGGGGAAGATTAATCTTACAGACAGGACTGAGAGCTTCACTGGCTGTTCAATTAAACATTAGATCAGACTTGTGACCACATTTCAAAAGCAGCTTTTTGGCTTTTTGACACTAATACGGTTAACAAACAAAAGGCAGCTAAATTACCTCATGCGCTGCGGCTTTTCTCCACCAACATGCAAATGTATGCGCGAGCTGTTCCAAAAGGTAATCAGATCATCTACTCTATAGGGAGTGCATGCAGTGTAAATATGATGTTTCTGTCATGTATTGTGCTTGAGTTATTGTGGGCGCTAGTGTTTCGGCATTTCCCCCTGTTAATATGCAAATTCATGCAGCAAGGTGCACTAAACCTGAATCAGATGTGTTATTGCACAGGGGGGAAGCGTACAGTTTCAATCACGTATTCTTTTAAAATATGCAGTCGGTGGCAGCGCTGACAGCAGAAGTGACTCGACTTCTGAGAGGCCAAAGGCCAATGGCAAAACATTCAAGCTAGCAGGCCTGCTATGCAAATGACAGCTCGGTCGATGCGACGGTGATGCGCAAAAACACATTTTAGAGTCCTCATTAAACCTTCAGGGAAAGCTACCGCAACAGAGGAGCTCAGCGGGGTTACACACCTGTCAGCTACCATCAGAGAGACAGGGCTGCATCCAGAGCCTGGCCACCACAGTGTTACATCTGCAGCTGCCCTGTGCAGTTTACATGTAAACAAAGTTTGTTTACATTCAGTGTTACTCAGCAAAAGGCACGATCTGAATCCCCGGGGTCTAACAAACATGTTGAAAGCATTTCCTTCCTCATAAAACATTTACCAAACCTGTATCGGTTACATCCATGCGCATTCCTGCCACCTGTCAATCAGTGAAGTAGTGTGAAGCACTGGCAGGAGTGTGAGCATGATGGAGAAAAAATGATGAGACCCACTCATAAAATCACTGGCACTACTACTTGACGAACTCTATGGGGGACCTTTACTGCAGGTCTTACAATGACTTTTCAAGGGATTTCACTGTTCCATACGAATTTCCAACGTCGGAATAAAATCAGTTTTACCTCACTTAGTGCGCGCTCACATGATCACAGATGTTTGGTGTAAGGTGGTTGTAAAACTCAGTCTGAACTGTCTTAAATCAATCTTTATCTTGTCTTGATGTTCCAATAAAACCAAACATGTTAAATATTATCATACACTAAGAGGCTCAATGACATTTCCATCATCTCCAGCACCAAACAGGAAGCAGCAAACTGGGCAGGCAGTAAACATGGAAGGGACTCTCGGGAGGCGTAAAAACAAGTCTCAGTACTATGGACTGTAGAAAAGGAGGATAAACTGATGGAGTTGTGGTGTAAACAAGAGTCAGTTTTTATAATTTGGACTGCATTTGATCCACCAACAAGCATTTATTTTAGTGAGAAATCTTAATTTTCCTCTCATTTCGAAGGTCTTCTCCCACTAAAATAATGCATCTAGCCTACGTAGGCTGGTAGCAAACTGAGACGACAAAATCTAAAATTTAAATTTGGTACATATACAGTTACTTTATGGATTATACTGGTGCCAAATTGACATGAATACTGTCAACATTTATCTTGTGTTTCTAGAATTATGTGTTTTTGTGAACACGTAAGGAATTGTTATGTCATAGCTCTCAAAGGAAATTTGGTGTAATAGTATCCATCAGGAGCACCATTGCAAATTGTTAGGTTGACATGTAAAATTATATCACTTATTTTGTTGCAATTCTATGTTCTTAAAATAGGAATAAAATTATTTTTTTTAACTAATTTGTCATATCGTCAAGAATATCATTATCGCAAAAATACCCTGAAATACTGTGATATGATTTTATTTTTTTCATTTTATTGTCATTTTTATGATGAAACATAAAAACAGGATACTGTTTCACGTCTAAAACCAGCCAAATTAAAAGTTCTCAGCGTAAAATTCTTCAAAATTGACTAGAAAAGCACTCGGAGAGCGCAGACCTCCGCCAAGCAGCTCGGATTTCCCGCCATTTTATTATTTTATCCACTTCGCTTTAACCGATCACCACCAAAATTAT